GTGAGCTCCCCCAGCACAGTGCCCAGCTCAGATTCTGTGAGCTTCTCTCCAGCAGTGAGGTACCAGCAGGGTACCCCCACACCCATCCCAGCAGTCTGAGCTCCCTGCAGGTGACCAGTGGATGGCGTAGGAGGCGGGGGCCGAGGGAATGGAAGGGGTGACTAGTTTTTTCAGGGTAGGGGGGGCCTGCCTAGCCATGGACATTGTCTGAGCCCCATGGCCGGGGGAGGGGCTGCCATCCTGTTGCCCAGGTGTAACCCAGGGCAGGTAGAGCAGCACCATTATGCAGTGTCCAGTCAATGGCTGCACATCTAGATCTGTCGTGGGAGGGGGGGCTTCTGGCCCCATTGTGTCGCCTGGCTTGGAGACATGAGCATGGCTAGGCCAGAGGGTGATGAGGGGGCCTGGAAGGGGGGCGAAGGGCGTGAGCTAGCCCTCCTTGGCAGCACAGTTATCCGTGGGGCAGAGCCGGCCTCTCTGGAAGGGCTGAGGCAGAGGAGCCGAGCCGGGTCGGACTGGCTACAGCTGCTATTTGTCACTCTCCCTGGCTGGAGGAGGCCCTTTGCCACCTGCTTTATTTGTCTCCCGGTGCTGACGTGGCAGCAGACAGGTGTTAAACTACTTAATCACTTTAAAATTGTTTTAATTTTCTGTTTTGTATTGATCTCCCCAGCACCAATTAATCAGCTCACTGGACCAGGCAGTTAGTACATTAAAAATTGTCAGCCACACCGGGCAGCTTAGAAAATGTCAAAAAAATATCCCGCCAGCTTCCTCGCAGAGCAGAGCCCAGGCTCCTGGCCAAGCGGCTGCCTCTGGGGCTCAGGGCTGCCGAGATCCCCAAGAACCCACTGACCAGAGGAGTTTGCAGGGGGAGCCCCATATTCCTTGGGCCTGGCTTCTCCAACCACCAGCTTACCTGAGTTTCTGTACAGGACCGGGGCACAATGCTCTTGGCACGCTGGTGTGAGGCCTCCCCTGGGTCTCTTTGGGGCTGCTTCTGTTGCTGGCATTCCTTCAGCCCCACCTGCTTCCCAGGAGAAGTGGGGGTTGGCACAAGGCGGGCAGGGTTGCTGCCCCTGGCACCTCTTCGTTACGTGGGAGAGGGCACGGGGGTGCTGGCCCCAGACAACCAGGGGACCCCACTGAGGGGGTGGGGGCTGTGCTCAGAGTGGGGCCAGCCGAGGGGCCTGCGAGGCCTGTGCCTGCAGGGCAGGGAGAGTCCCTCTCTGCCGGGTGCCTGGCTTTGGGCTCAGCCCCTCACGTGAGAGAATGAGGGAGCCGGGGCAGTTCAAGGAGGAGCGGCACCAAGGGAGAGGCTGGCAGCAGGGAGGTACGTGAATGCAGGCGCCACAGGGCCCACGTGGAGACCAAAGGTGAACGGGAGGGATGCCAGGGCCAGAGCCAGCGGGAGCCCGGTACTGCGGGAAGGGGCATCGGCTCCCGGGGAGGGGGCTCAGGACAGTTACGTTGCTCTGTCCCAACGGATGGTCACAACTCACCTGGCCAGGCTCATGCATGCTCCAGATGGGGCCGTGCGGCCTGTTAGGCTCAGCACAGGGCTGGCCACCGGCGCCCGTATGCCTGGAGCCAGCAGCGGAGCCTGGCGGGGCCGGAGTCCTCCCTGGCCTGGGAGCAGCGCTGGCACCAGGGCTGGGCAGCCAGCGGCAGCGCCCTGGGGACCGGGGCTTGGCACACATGCGGACAGGCCAGGCTCATGGGGCCATGTTAGTCTCCATGCCGCAGGCCTCAGCCTGTCACCTGAGCCCCCTCCCCTAATGGAGTTCCCTGGGGCCGCCCCCAACCCTGACAGGATCCCCCGTAGCTCCAGGGCAGAGATTTTGCTGTAGCCCGTCATTCACCTGGGAGGTGCTGCCAGGAGCCAGGCTGTGCCGGGGGTGGGGGTGGGGGTGGGGGGGTCATTGTAGGGCCTGGGGCTGTGTTGGAGATTACTGTAGAGTCAGGTTGGGTGTTCAGGGGCCAGGCTGTGCAGTGGAGCTGGGGGCTGGGCCATGGCATTGGGGTGGCCGGACTGTGCGGGGGAGGGGCGGGTGTCCATGCTGTGGCGTTGGGTTTGGGGGCTGAGTGGGGGGGGACAGGACATGGTATGGGGAGGCCTGGGCAGTGGCACTGGGGGGGGCCTTGCAGTGGTATTGGGGGGTCTCGTCAGGGGGCCGTGGCATGGGGGGCGCTGGGCAGTGGCACTGGGGCGGGGCATACCGTGGCGGGGGGGGCTGGGCAGGGGGGCCGTGCCGTGGCACCAGCAGACAGGCTGTGCTGTAACCCTGGGGTTGCATTGCATTGGCGGTGGGTGCAGGGCCGTGAGGACTGGCGGGGGCTCCTGGGGGTGCGTTGGGGTCCAGCCCCAAGTGGGTCATGGCAGCTGGGCTGTGCTGCCTGGCTAAAGGTGTCCCCCCCACCCCTCCTGTACTAATCGCTATATGATGGGCCCACAACACCTTATCTCCGATCGATTTCCTCCCCGGGACGCTGCAGCGTGTTTGCTCCCAGCTGGCCGCCGTTATTGGCTCGCACTGTTGGAAAGTGGGCGAGCTTATCGGCGCTGGTTATTTGCTAGCGCACAGTGACGCACACATGGCTCACAAATGGGGGTGCCCAGGCCCATCGCATGCACCTGGCCAGGCCCCCCGTCCCCCTGCCTTGGCATGGCAACACCGTGAGGCCCAAACTGTGTACCAAGGTGACCCACCAACTGCAGTCTGTCTTTTTTGCGGTTCACCCAGGGACCTAAAGTCAGGCCAGCGTCCTCCTCCACCACTGCCTCGCCCTCCTGGCACCTGCCACAGCACCTTCTGCCCTGGCATCACCACCTTAATCCCTCCCGGGCAGTGGAACGGTAGCCTGCCCCGCCCTCACCCTGCAGCGGGAGCTCCTGTCCTGTGGGGCTGTGGCCAGCTCCCCACCAGCGCTATTGTGCATGACGGGGGGCAGCCAGGCCAAATCCGAGTGGCATTGCAACCCCCTGCACCAGTTTGCGATGCCTGGAACTGAGAGGAAAGCCCAACCCCATGGGAAAAGAGCTGCAGTGGGGCTGGCTTGTACGACAACAGCCTCCCCCTCCCACCCACCCCAAACTACCCCCTCCCCGGGGCTACCGCACCCAGGCCCGTGGATGCAGGGTCAGATTCTGGCCAGCCCGTGGTTGGTGCAGTAGGAGCAGGAGACCCGTTTTTACACGGGAATGTTGCATGCTTGCACAAGTGTTGCACACATCCCCTGGTGCAGGGACTGTGCCAGTACTTCAACTGAACACATGGTGTGTAGCCCACCCCCACCCCCCGGTGCACCTCAGAACAAGCCTGGCTCCAGCTCTGAGCGCAGGCCAGCCCAGCCCCCTGGGGGCAGCCCATACACGCCCTGCAGGCAGCGCTGTGCCCAAGAGGGGCTGGGCAAGCTGGCCTGGGGCCTAGCATGGGCGAGCGCGCACATGCTCACACACGCTGCTCTGCGCACGCCCGCTTGTGACCTGTGCACAGGGTGGACGGAGGCCATGCGCAGGCTGGAGTGGCAGTAAACACTCCTTTGCTATTGACACAGCATCAATCGTGTGGCTGCGACAGGTAAATGGGCTTTCACTCACCGCCCCAAGATAAATGGTATTTATTTGCTGCTAATATGTTCCAACAAGAGGCCTAACGAGCGACTTTTGAACTGGTGCCTCATGCAGTAGCTCAGGGTACGCTGAGCACCCGAGAGCTACCTGCTGCAAAGAAACCCAGAGCTCCCCTCCCACTCCAGGGTGCTGACCCTGCTCCCCACAGCACCCCGCCTGGGAGAGGCTGGTGTATAACAGTGTCTCTGTGGCTGTTGGCCTAACCTCTCACCTGGGACTGGTCATGCTGCTCCTGGCCTGTCTGGGCGGCTCCCCAGCACCCCATGGCCATCGCCCCTTACTGCTGGGCTGGGTCTCTGTGGCTCAGGGCAGCAGCACCCACAGCGTTAGTGCCTGTGCATGAACAGTGCCACAGTAACCGCCGCTGGCCCGGCCTCGGCTTCAAACCCCACCTGCCACAGTACCCGCCCTGCATGGAGCCGCGTGGGTCGGGTGCATCTGGGCCAGGGAGCCACGCGGGTCGGGTTCGCCCGCCCCAGTGACCGGCGCTGACTCAGGCGGGAGCAGGGTGACGGCACGCAGGGCCTGCTGAGTCCATGGGGCAGAGAGCAGGGCTGGGCTAATGAGGAAAGATGGGGCAACGCCCCAGGTCAAACTTCAAATTAATTAATTAATAAATAATGTACCCGCAAGAATCTAGTGCTGGCGGCTCCAGGACTGCGCCCTTCCCCACAGCAGTGCTGTCAGGACTGCGTGCCAGCGTCTTTTTGGCTGCTCCCCAGTGAGTGTCCCCAGCGCCTCCCCCCGGTTGCGTTCTGAGCCGAGGCCCAGGCCAGCCGCCTCTTGGTGCAGCCCCCGTAGGGACCCTTTGCTCAGTGTGGGGGTTCAATGGGTTACAGCTTAAACCCCCCCCCCCCCCCGGCAGCCCAGCCGTCGACACTCCGCTACCGCCCCAGCCAGCTGCACCCATGGACGCGCCACAGTCAAATAACTGCTCAGATGCAGAGGGGCCTGGGACTTTTATTTCATCACTGCTCATGGCCCGGCAAGGTCTGTAACACAAACAGCCCGGGACATGCTGGAGCCCGGCTCCCTCCTGCCCAGGTTGGGAGCAGCCCCCTCCCAGCGTGGGGCAGGGACAGAGGCAGAGCCCCCCCTTTCCCATTCGCAGCCTGACTCTATGGCCCAAGGCTGCGCCAGCAGCTCCTGTGGGGTCAGGGCTGCTCCTGTCCCCTCACGACTCAGCTGGGGAGGAGGCAGGCTCCAGGACCCTGTACCTCACGGCTCAACCCCTCCTGCTCAGAGCAGCCCCTGCCAGCTCGGGTGCTGCTCTGCGTGTCTCTGGCTCCGAGCAGCCGGCGTGCAGAGTGGTGCACAGGCGTCTCGGGCACGGGGCCAGTGCCAGGCGCTGCAGGGGGCCGGTGGCTCAGCCGCTGTGGGTTCCCAGGCTGAGCACCGAGAAGGCAGCCCGGTGCTTCCTCAGCAGCAGACGGATCTTCTCGTCGTCCGAGTCGGGGTCCAGGGGCTTGTTGTACTCGTCGTCCTCGGTCTCAGAGGCGGCCCGCTCGCCCACCGCCCGCTGCGAGGAGGACGAGGGCTCCAGCGCGCTCTTCTTCCGCCACTTGGTCCGTCGGTTCTGGAACCACACCTGGCCCGGGATGGGGAGCGCGTTAAGGCTGTACTGAGCTGATGGGCCCCCATCCCAGCTCCCTGCTGTTGGGGGGTGACGAGCCCCAGCTGCCCTGGCCAGGCCCCTCACTGCCCAGCAAACCAGCGCCCCACACAGGCCAGTTTGCCTAAGGATCCAGCCTGGCCCTGAGGGGTCGCGGGTCAGTCTCCATTGGCCCCTTTAACAAGACAGCCCTGGGCGGCCCGGCCCCTGAGTCCCAGCGCTGGCCCTGGGCCCTCACTCACCTTCACCTGCGACTCGGTCATGCCGAGGGAATAGGCCAGACGTGCCCGCTCGGGCCCTGCCAGGTACTTGGTCTGCTCAAAGGTTTTCTCCAGCGCAAAGATCTGGTGGCCGGTGAAGGTGGGGCGCGTGTGCTTCTTCTTGTGGATGCTGTCGGCCAGGTGAGCCGAGGCTGGCAGAGGGAGGGGACCGGTCAGTGTGGGGGGCTGGTGCCGCGTGAGCTGGCCAGCCAGGCACCTACTGCCCCAGAGGGCGTGGCTGGGCAGGACGCAAGGGGCCCTAATGGAACCCAGGGGAGCTGTGCCTGCAGCCCCCGCTCCCAAGGCTAACGCTAGCCCCCCGGAGTGGGTTGTGGCCCACAGCCCCCCCTTTCCCCGGGGTGACGGTACCCCCCCCAAGCAGGACATGCCTCATGCCCCCCGGGTAACAGTAACCCCCCAGAGGGGAATGTGCCCTGCAGCCTTCCCCAGGGAGCTGGTAACCCCCCCAGAGCGACAGTAACACCCCTCCAGAGCAGGACACACACACCCCTGGGGTGACAGTAACACCCCCCACAGTGGGCTGCTCCCTGTCCCCCCAGCCCCCAGGGTGACAGTAACGCCCTGTATTGGGCACGCCATTCTGTCCCCTGAGTGGGGTCTGGCACCTGCTGGGCCTGTTTCGGATGCTGTCATCACTACCACATGGGATGGCCCCCTCCGCCCCCATGCCTCCATCAGGGAAACGCGGTCCCAGCCCCACCCCCACGAGTGACACCGAATGCCCTTGAGAGGCCCAGCGCCCTTGTGCCACAGGGCACCCCGATGCCCGGCAGCGAGTGGGGCGCGCACGCTGCCTCGCCCAGCTGGCCAGGGGGATGCGGCCAGTGGGCCATTCGCCTGTAGGCGCCCATCCTGGCTGCTCCCAAGTCAGGGCCAGCTGCTCTGGCCGGCTTAAAGCAGCCACTCGTGGCCCAAGGGCTTGTGCTAGGGTGAGCATTGGGGAAGTGCCCCAGGGCAGCCCGTCCTTCAGGGCCTGGGCTCCCCCCATGCTGGCCGCTGTGGGGTTCTGGGACAGGGGCTTGTGGCTGCAGGGCCAGGCTTTCCGGGGCACCCACATGCCGGGTCCTTGTTGGGTGCTGAGCCCCTAAGGGCCCCCACAGGGGTGGGGATCAATCAACCCCCTCTCCCCAGTGCTCATCCAACTCATCCCTTGGGGGGGGGCAGGCTCTGCCCCAGTCCTGCTGTCCCACCCTCTCCCCTGAGCCAGGTGGTCCCTGAGCCAGCTCCTCTCCCTGCCCGTGGGCTGAATGCAGCACGTCCTGGAGCTCGCACTGGTGACAAAGAGAGCAGCGGTCCCGCCCGTGCAGGCGCCCAGCGGGGGCAGGGGGAGGGGGGCTCTGCTCCCAGCTCAGGGTTCTGAGGTTCAGCCCCTCTCCTTGGGGGGCTCAGCTCTGTCCCTGCGGGAGGAAGGACACTGATTTCTGCCCTGCCCTAGTCCGGCTCTAACCTCTCCTCGCCTCTCCCCAGCTGGTGCGTAACAGTGACTCGGGTTCCAGCAGCAGTGGCCCAGGCAAGCCGTTGTGCTGTCACCTGCCATCCTTCCCAGGCACCCACCATGGTGCTCAGCACGGGCATTCACCAGCCTCTGAGCACAGCTCCGGGGCCCTCCCAGCCCTGCCTCGGAGTGGGTCATGGCTGGGCAGAGTGGAGGGGGCAGGGCTGGGCCCTGGTGAGCTGTCTCTGACCGCCCCAGCAGCACGGTCCCGTGGGGGATGGCCCTGCCCCAAGCGCCTGGCACCTGCCCCAGGGTGGGAGCAGTGGTGGCTTTGCTGCCCAGGCAGGGAGCAGAGTCCGGGCTGTGGGGAGCAGGCGGGCTGGGCTGGGGCAGTTGGTAGGGGCATGGGCTGGTGGTAGGGGCATGGGCTGGTGGGGCCTGCTGAGCCAAACCTCTGCATCTGGCCTCATGCTGCCAAGCCCGTGGGGCCCCATCAGCGTGTGGCTCCTGCCAGCCCCCCGCCTCCCCCTCAGCTGCGGTGCCGCGCCAGGTACTTACTGCTGCTGCACGGTCGGCCTCCTCGCCAGTCCTGACCGGGGTCTGCCCAGCAGTCCCTGCCTCGGGACGGGTAGTCACTCCCTGCCTTGGCGAAGGGCCCCACCTGGGGTCCGTAGTAGACGGGCTGGGAGCCCAGGCCGTTGAAGCCGCCTGCGTGGGGGTAGGCTGAGAGCAGGCTGCTGTTTGGCCGGCTCAGGATATCGGTGATGCCGTGCGGCGTGCCGGCTGCCAGCTGGGCGCTGAGTCCTGGCGGGCTGAGCTTGTAGAAGGAGTTCTGCACCGCGTACTGGCACATGGGGGCCTTTGCCTCCGGGAAGGGGGCCAGCGAGGGGCTGTTGAGCAGGAATGTCCCCTGCAGGTTGGAGTCCATGGCGCTGCTTCGCCCTGGGAGAGGCCAGCGAATGCACCAAGCCGGCCCCTAGCGCCCCAGCTGCGTGCCACGTGCTAGCAAAGCCATCCCAGGCAGCCCGGCTCAGTGGGGGGCTGTGCCAGCTGGCCACAATCCTGCTGCTTCCCTACAGCCCAGCCTGGGCGTCAGCTGCTGGCACTGCCCAGGCAGCAGGCACCACAGCAGCCACGTGACCCAGGCGGGCTCCTGGGGGGCAGGCTGGTCCGGGAGCACCTTGCCAGGTGCTGTCCAGGGCTGAGGCCCAAGCCCATGAGATGCCGGGGCCGGCTGGCCAGGCTGACCCCAGAGCACCTGCACCCAGGTCCCTGCCACAGAAGTTTAACTTCAGGAGAAGCAACATTTCTCTGATAAAGGTGTGGGCCATTAGAATACTGGGCCCCGATTGGCTGAGCTGCTGGGGCTAAGCTCCCATTGGCTGGGTGACAGGGCAGGCCCTGGATTGGCTCGTCCCAGACAAATTGCAATTTGAAAGATTAGCTGTAAAAAAATAATCAGCTGCTTGCTGCTGGGCTCAGAGCTCCTCGGGCTGCGCCTGGCTGCCCCATGCCTGGGCGCCCACTGGCCACAGTGAGGGACGAGGCCCAGAGCCCAGGCTGGGCAGGGCAGGGCCGGACCATGCAGGTGTGTGCAGGGGCCACGGGGTCAGTGAGCATCGGCCTGTCTGGACCAGAGGGTGCGCAGCCGTGTGTGCAGCTGGGTGTAGGCGATTGTGCATGTCTGTCTGTGTGCACAGCGCATGGGGCTGCCTGTGTGTGCAGCGCCCCAGCCTCAGCCGGGGGGGGTTTCCATACCTGTGTGCACCAGTATTTGTTCATGGCTGGTGTGTACATGGTGGGGCTGCATGTGATAGAGCGTGTGTGCGGGGGGGCGGAGCTATTGTGTGTTGTGCAGGTGTGTATGGGGGGTATTGTGTGTACGGAGGGGGCACGCATGTGTCTGGGGTGGAGCTCCCTGTGCCTGCTGGCTTGTGGTTGGCGCCTGGGCCCTGCGGGGTTCCAGGGCAGAGGCCGCGTCGCTCCCTGTCTGACCCAAGGGCCCACGCAGCCGCCTGCGCTGCTGGACAGCATCCGTGGTGCCGTGCGAGCAGCCAACAGGCCTCATCCCTTGGGCTGCAGCGCACGGCTCTGCAGGCACCACAGCTGGCTCCTGTGGTGTGTCAGCTCCATGACTGTGGGGGGCGCTTGCCCCAGCCTGGGGGCTCCATTTTCTAGTATTACTCATCCCTACTTGTACAAGCCATGTCCTCCCGCCCCAGCCTGCCAGCCCCCGCCACACCTGTCCCTTCACGCGCCACCCGCCACCCCTGTCCCTGCACACACACACCCCGCCACACCTGTCACTGCACGCGCCCCACACCACACCTGTCCCTGCACGCGTCACCAGCCACACACCTGTCCTGCACACGCCCCCCCACCCCGCCATACATCTATCCCTGCATGCACAGTCATGCGTGCACACATGCAAATACACCCTTCCCCTGCCCAGGCAGGAAAACATGATTAACAAATGGCACCAACCAGGAAGCTGGTGCCCAGCTCCCTCCTTCGAGCTGGTGCTGTTCAATCCAGCCAGACGCCTGCTGTGTGTGCGCACGGGGCTCTGTGCACAGGTGCCCACATGGCCAGAGCCATGGGCCAGTCCCCACTGTTCTGACGGGACGGGGGTGGGAGGCGAAGGTCACAGGAAAGATGCCATTGCAGCCACAGTGAAAGCAGCCAGTGCACCTGGCTGTGCCTCCGGGTGGCCCTCCCACAAGGCAGCAGCTGAAGCAGGAGACGCAGGGGTGGTGACGTCATTCCCCGCACAGGGCTGGTGCTGTCCGGGTGGGTATTTCTACCCTGTGTCCCACCAGGATATCGATCCTCCAGGCCTCGGCACATCCCCAGAGGATGCCACTGCTGGGTCCCACCTTCAAGGGGACCGCCCTGTGCTGGGGCAGCAGACCTGAATCTTTTGCTGCCCTGGGCACCTTTCTCTTTGCAGCTCTCCCTCCCACCCACCCTGGTGAGCGGGGAAGACAGTGGTGTACATGCACGGCAGGACATGGACTTGACCGCCAGATCTGCAGCCTTGTTACCCCCTCCTTCCATTTGGCCAGGCAATGGGGAACCCAGGGAGGGAGCTGCTGTCTGCCCAGGACACCCCTGGCCCCCAGCAGAGAAGCAGAGACAAGGCCCAGCTCGTGTTGATTTCTTTATTAAGTTGTAGTCTGGTAGCTGGTGTCTAGGGAGAATGGTCTATACATCAGAGGCTAAGATGGGGGCAGGGAGAGCCAAAAGGCTCATTGTCATAACAGTAAAAAAAGGAAATAAAATTATTTTAAAACTTCTAAAAAGCGTCTAGTGCACAGCCTGCAGCATTCTCTAGGCGTCATGTCGAGCGCGCCCCCGCCCCTACCAGCTCCTACTAGCAATCAGAGCGCGAAGCAGCGGCTCCCGCGGGGCCGGCCGAGTGCAGTGGAGCATTCCCTACGGAGTATAGAGGCCAAAGCAGGGGGCCCGCACTAGACTCTACGGAGATGCTATCAGAGTCAGCCATTCTAGGGACGTTATGTTACAGAGCGGAGGGTTATGGATGGACGGTCTGTACCCTACGTGGTTTGTTGCTCTCCGAGGAGAAGGCTGGCCTAGTCGCGTCTCTGCAGCTACCCCACCTCCTCAGCCTGCAGGGGAGCAGAGGGCTTTTCTACTAGACATGCCCACCAGCCAAGGCCTGCTGGGCATGGCGGCTGCAGCCCGGCTCCAGTGGTGGGCTCGGCCTGGGTGTTGCCACCGGGAAACACGTCAGCCCCTTTGAGATGGGGCCATGGCGACTTCCTGGGGAAAGCGCAAGTCCAATTGTTTCTGCCTGGCTCCTTCCTGCACCCTTAGGGGAGGTGAGGGACGTGGCAGCCAGCACCCCCTTCCTGCTACCAGCCCGCCTGGGGTCACACACGTCACAACAGGTTCCATCTACTGAGCGCCTTTAAATAGCCCAGGTAGCTGCCCCCCCCACCCCACCCCCAGCCTCCTGCCAGGACAGAGCTGTTGGCAGGAACAGCTGAACCAAGGGGCCAGCCTGGGACAGAGCTCTGCTGGCCCCAGTTAAAGCGCCCGGGGCTGAGACTCCAGGTCGCAGGATGACCCTGTCTCCTCCGGCCGGACTGCAGCAGTAGGGTTTCTGGTGCCGACGCAGTGCAAGAGCCTGGGAGAGCTGCTCTGATGGGCCTCCTTTGCCCTGGGCACTGGGGGTTGGTCCTGGAAGGGTCAGGGGACACGGGGGCTGTGCTGATTTTGGCCTTTCAGAGAGGCCGCGGGACCCTGGAGGGCCTCACGAATGGTGCAGAGGACAGGGGTGCAAACCCCACTGCTGTTTCCTTGCATCTCTCCTGAACAGCCATTGTGCTGGGTAGAGCCAAGCATGGGCTGAGTAGGTGCTGGGCTGTGCCAGTGCTCGCCACCTGCCCGTTCCGCGCCGGGGCACCAGGGCCTGGTGGGAGGCCCTCAGCTCTGCTCCATCTGTAACCAAAGTGGGCAGGGGCTGGCACAGGTGCCCCGGCCCCCTGCCCGGCCCCGGGTGGGTGTCAGGAAATGAACAAGGCCAAGGGGAGTAAAAGCGCCAGGCTGACACTGGGAGGTTTGGCTCTGTTGCCTTCTGACACCTCCAGCTTCCCAGCTGCACTGGCCAGAGCTCATCCCTGGTGGGGGCTGAGGGGCCATCCCTGTCCTACAGCCGGCGAGGTATGCGGGCACTGAGCGGGCAGTGCTCTGCACACCGCTGCGTGCCCTCGGGCGTTGCATAGTATTGATTTGTTCATATACACAAGGCTGAGTACTGTACAGTTTACACTTTCAACACAAGCGAGGAGCTCAGTGCTGCTGGGAGCTGCACACTCACACTGGGGGAAGCTCCTGGAGAGACAGGGGCAGGGCAGCCACAAGCCAATCCCCTGCCCCTGCCCTTGCCAGGGGCGCCCCCTCGAGAGCTGCAGTTCGGCCCTCCCACCGCAGCCCCTTTAGGTTCTGACATCCCCCCTCCCGACACACTCCTTGGAAGGGGATGAAGCAGCAAAACCCAGCCAAGAGACAACATGAGGGATAGGTGGGAGCTGACGCCCCCGCCCTGGGCAGCCCTTCATAGCCGCAGCCTCCGTCCGGAGTCAGGGTGCGCGCAGCAGAGTCCTGTCGCTGCCAGGGAAACGCTGCCCCGGGTGCTGCTGGCTCCTGGGGTCCCCGTCCGTAGTAAGAACTGTGGCTCATGCGTTGGCAGTCAGTCAATCATGCGAATAGGACGGGAAGTAAGTCTCTTACAGAAGTCATGCCATTAGCCTAGAGCAACGTGTACAGCCAGCCCTGCTCCCGTCGCCTGTCCGCTCTCGCCTCGCCTCTCCTCGCGGGGCTGGCCGCACGTGGCTGCAGTTCAGTGGTTCGGGGTGGAGGTGAGATCCTGAAGGACAGAAAAGACAGAGCTTGGGTTACAAACAGCGCCCTGCTGGGGACCCCCCCAGCGCAGTAGGCCAGAGCTGGGGGCATGACCCAGTGCTCCACTTACAGGCATGGCCACAGCAGCTCAGAGAGACTGGCTGGTGCTGGGGGCAGGGACAAAGGGAGGGGGGCAGCTGGCTGGATGTGAGACCCTCTGGCACCCAACGCTGCAGCACCCAGCAAAGGGCCAGATGCCGGCTGAAACCAGCCCCTGCCTGTTCATTGCCCAGGGCCTGGAGCCACAGCTGTGAACAGTAGGAGTCAGCTACCGGCTCAAAGGGAACAGGCCCCGGCAATGGCTGTCTGCATGTGCTCAGCCGAGGCGGCTGTGTGGGGAATGCAGAGGCGTGAGGCAGAATGCACGGACTGGCGGTTACTGCCCTGTGGTGGTCTGGGAGGGGAGGTGGTCCCTGGGCAGGGTGTGGTGGTGAATGCAGTGCAGGCAGCACAGCTGGCTGGGCCAGACCAGCAGCTCGCAGAGCACGGCTGAGGGAGCAG